TAAGTATAGAGGCGCCGCTCACAGCGTGTGTAATCTCAAGCTTAAAATCACCCCTAAGACAATAAACATCCCCGTGGTCTTTCACAACTTGAGAGGGTACGACTCACACTTGATCATGCAGGCCATCGCGAAAATCGATGGTAATATAACGTGCATTCCCAACAACATGGAGAGATACATCTCCTTCAGCTTAGACGGTCTTAGGTTCATTGACTCGTATCAATTTCTATTGTCGTCACTAGACAGCCTGGTCAAGGCCAATGATACCTTCCCTATTACCGATCGATACACAGACTCCAAGACTAGATCCCTGCTTATTAGGAAGGGTGTGTACCCCTATGAGCACATGGATAGTTGGGCCAAGTTCGCCGAGACCAGACTACCCCCCATCAGAGAATTTTACAGCAATCTGACCGACTCGGAAATATCCCAAGACGATTACTCGCACGCTATTAATGTATGGAATAAACTGGGTTGTAAAACCCTGGGTGACTATCACGATCTGTACTTGAGGATGGATGTACTGCTATTAGCCGACGTATTTGAGGCATTTAGGCGGACATGTTTCAAGCAGTATAAACTAGACCCAGCATGGTATTACACCAGCCCAGGTCTGTCGTGGGATGCCTTGCTTAAAAAGACTGGAGTTAAGTTGGAATTGCTTACTGATTACGACATGCACCTATTCATTGAGAAAGGCTTGCGAGGTGGGATCTCCATGGCAACCAAACGATACGCTAAAGCAAATAATCAATACTTGAAGGGCTACGACCCTAGCAAGCCAACCAATCACATTCTCTACCTCGATGCCAACAACCTGTACGGATGGGCCATGAGCCAGTATCTACCCACAGGGGGATTCGAATGGGGCCGGGTATCGTCCGATTTCGATATTATGAGCATCGCGCCGGATTCGAACAAAGGTTATATCCTCGAGGTTGACTTGGAGTATCCCAAGGCATTACACACATCACACAACAGTTACCCCCTGGCCCCCGAACGTATGAGGGTTAACCCGGACTGGATGTCTGAGTACCAACATAACTTGTTAGGTGGGCGGGTGACGGGCGTTGAAAAACTCGTGCCTAACTTAATGAATAAGACCAAGTACATCGTTCACTATCGCAACCTACAGCTGTACCTGTCGTTGGGTATGAGGCTGACCAAAATACACAGAGTGCTCGTGTTCGACCAGAGCCCATGGATGGAGCCCTACATCAGAATGAACACAGACCTCCGAAAGCTTGCCACCAGTGACTTTGAGAAAAACCTCTATAAGCTCATGAACAACTCGGTGTTCGGTAAGACTATGGAAAACCTGAGGAAACGCGTGGGACCGTGTGAAACTGGTTCGGGATGATGAGGAAGACAAACTCAGGAGACTGATAGCCAGTCCGGCATTCAACCGTAGCAAAATATTCACCGATGACTTAGTTGCCCTACACATGAAGAAAAGTCACATAAAATTCAACCGGCCTGTTTACGTGGGGATGAGCATCCTCGATTTATCCAAACACCTGATGTACGACTTTTACTACAAGCGAGCTTAAGAAACGATACGACGGCGATAGGTGTGAAGTGCTGTACACTGACACGGATTCCCTGCTGATGGAGATTCGAACCGAGGACGTGTACGATGACATGAAAAACACCTCGATTTGTACGACACCAGCGACTACCCCAAGGACCATGCCATACACAGCACGGTAAATAAAAAGGTCCTGGGTAAGATGAAGGATGAGTGTGCTGGCACGCCCATAGTCGAGTACATCGGCTTAAGACCCAAGATGTATTCCATACTGAAGGCTGACAATAGTGAGATCCGGAAGGCTAAGAGCGTTAAGAAGTACGTGGTGAAACAACACATCAAACACGCCAGATTCAAGGAAGCCCTGTTCAAGACCCGTACCTTTAAACATAAAATGAACACACTTAGAAGTGATGGTCATAGGATATACGGACTGACTATAAACAAGACGTCTCTGTCGCCTATGGACACTAAACGTTGGATAGCTATTGATGGGATAAACACGTACGCGTATGGACATGAGAAAATTGAATCAGAGATTTGAGGCTATTTACTATAGCCCGCGTGGGTATTGGAAAGGAGCTAGCGCTGTAGATAAGCTGGCTAAAAAAGCGTGAGTATCCCCGGAGGAGGCCAAAGCGTGGCTTGAAAAACAAGCCCTGTGGCAGATCTATTTACCACCACCACGCTACGTGCCTAGAAGGAAGTTCGGTATTAACATACCCAATAACGTTCACCAGGCAGACCTACTGTTCCTACCCCACGACAAGAGGTACAAGTATGCCTTAACCGTAGTCGACGTAGCCAGTCGCTACAAGGAAGCCGAACCATTGACCACGAAAGATTCTTCCCAGGTGGCCAGAGGATTCGAACGTATATACAAACGCAGTCCGCTGACGTGGCCAACAGAGCTGCAAGTTGACCCCGGCCGGGATTTCATGGGTGCCGTGTCACAATTGCTAGACAAACACGATACAAGGGTCAGGCGTGGCACGGCCGGAGCCCATCGCAGTCAAGCCATAGTTGAGAGATTTAATAGGACTTTAGCTGAGCGCTTATTCGGGCACCAGTACGCTAGAGAGATGACCAACCCAGGAAAACGATCGACTGAATGGGTCACGAGGTTACCTAAGGTGGTGTCGGCAATCAACCATGAGGTCACCCGTCTCACTGGAAAGAAACCGGCAGACGCTATCAAATTAAAATCAGTGATAGCCGAACCGGCTGCTCCATCACGGGTTGGTAAGGAGAAGCTAGTACCCGACCGAGCTCTCGTGAGGTATCTCTACCAACCGGGAGAACATGAGGGCGATAGTCGCAAGCGGGCCACCGATCCGATATGGTCAGTCAAAACTTACAACATAGATAAAGTTGACATCAAAGCCGACGAGCCTAACTTGTACTACTTGAGGGATGGGCCGGGCAGAGGGTTTGTAAGAGAAGAATTATTAATCGTACCGTATGATACAGTATTACCTCCTGTCAACACGGCATACATGATACAATCCCAGGATACCAACCAACTTCAACCATGTCCCCGGTAGCTCAGTAGCGCGTACATTAGGCGTTCGTAGTAGGGGTAATAGTAGCAAGATCTAGAGGTCCGACCAAAGCCTCTGTCTGTGAAATAAGGCTTTTGCAGAGGCTTTTGTCCCGGACTCTCATTCCTCTGTTCAAGATCTAGAGGTCCGACCAAAGCCTCTGTCTGTGAAATAAGGCTTTGCAGAGGCTTTTGTTGGAACTGGTCCGACCAAAGCCTCTGTCTGTGAAATAAGGCTTTTGCAGAGGCTTTTGTTGGAACTGGTCCGACCAAAGCCTCTGTCTGTGAAATAAGGCTTTTGCAGAGGCTTTTGTTGGAACTGGTCCAGGACTCTCATTCCCTTTACTACTTCACGTTCCACTGGTTATAGTCGCGGTGTTCTGGCCAGTGACCAGTTAGATCACGGTCCACTGGTTATAGTCGCGGTGTTCTGGCCAGTGACCAGTTAGATCACGGTCCACTGGTTATAGTCGCGGTGTTCTGGCCAGTGACCAGTTAGATCACTGTCCACTGGATATCATCGCGTTGTTCTGACCAGTGACAAGTTAGGTCACGGTCCACTGGTTACAGTGGCAGTATTCTTGCCAGTGACAAGTTAGATCACTGTCCACTGGCTATAATCGCGGTGTTCTGGCCAGTGGCAAGTTAGATCACGTTCCACTGGTTATAGTCGCAGTGTTCTGGCCAGTGACAAGTTAGATCACGTTCCACTGGTTATCGTTGCGGTGTTCTAGACAGTGAGAAGTTAGGTCACGGTCCACTGGTTATAGTCGCAGTGTTCTAGACAGTGACAAGTTAGGTCACGGTCCACTGGTTACAGTGGCAGTATTCTTGCCAGTGACAAGTTAGATCACTGTCCACTGGATCTAATCGCGGTGTTCTGGCCAGTGTCAAGTTAGATCACGGTCCACTGGTTATCGTTGCGCTGTTCTATCCAGTGACAAGGTAGAGTACTGTCCACTGGATATCATCGCGGTGTTCATGCCAGTGACAAGTTAGGTCACGGTCCACTGGTTATATTTGCAGTGTTCTGGCCAGTGACATGTTAGGTCACGGTCCACTGGTTATAGTCACGGTGTTCTGGCCAGTGACAAGATATATCACTGTCCACTGGTTATAGTCGCAGTGTTCTGGCCAGTGACATGTTAGATCACGTTCCACTGGTTATAATCGCGGTGTTCTGGCCAGTGACATGTTAGATCACTGTCCACTGGTTATAGTCTCGGTGTTCTGGCCAGTGACAAGTTAGATCACGGTCCACTGGTTATAATCCCGGTGTTCTGGCCAGTGACAAGTTAGATCACGTTCCACTGGTTATAATCGCGGTGTTCTGGCCAGTGACATGTTAGATCACGTTCCACTGGTTATAATCGCGGTGTTCTGACCAGTGACATGTTAGATCACGGTCCACTGGTTATAATCCCGGTGTTCTGGCCAATGACAAGTTAGGTCACGGTCCACTGGTTATAATCGCGGTGTTCTGGCCAGTGACAAGTTAGGTCACGTTCCACTGGTTATAGTCGGGGTGTTCTTGCCAGTGACATGTTAGGTCACGGTCCACTGGTTATAGTCGCAGTGTTCTAGACAGTGAGAAGTTAGGTCACGGTCCACTGGTTATAGTCGCAGTGTTCTAGACAGTGACAAGTTAGGTCACGTTCCACTGGTTATAGTCTGTCACCACACGTGAATGTCTTTGCATCAGGCACGCATGGAGAACTTTCCAATAGCTATGGGACATAATGGTATACATACCCGTCTCTAGATACTCTACATACACATCTCGGGTGGCACTATTTTGGCCATTTTCTCAAATGTTAAGCGATACGATCTTTCCACCTACTCATAGTGTTATCGAAGATGAGAACCCTCCCCAAGAGTAAACGTATAGCGTTTATTGAAACGATGCTTTATGTGTTTTATTTTAATCTGCAGATACAACGAATGCACTTCCGGCCCTGGAAAAGAAGGTACCTTACATCAATAGATATATGTATGCATTGTTAAGTCACTGAAGAAAAATACTTATCAAAGGTTAGAAGTGTACCTAAAGTGTACCTAAACATAGAAGAAGATAATAATAAAATCTTGGTACCCCCCAAAACCGCAAAAACTTCAATAAATGCATCACAAACTTCAGGTAACAAAATATGCCAGAAACATTTTGTGTGTTTGAGGTAGGGAGAAGACCTCTAAAATCAAATGTAGATATTAAAGTGCATAAAAATGCAATTTGAAACTACAATCGCTTGTTTAAGTGACATACACACACAGACACACACACAGGATGTTTACTGAAAGAGCTTGTTTTGAAGACACTACCCAACCCCTTTCAGATAACGTAATAATAAGGAAATAATTTATTCTAATGTCTTCACTTATGCCTAAATGATTCCAAGGGTTAAAACTAAATACTGAAAGGTCACACAAGTGTCCGCTTTCAATATATTGTAAACTGTGCCAGCTTGAATATCTAGACACAATGTTTTCGAAAGAATAAAATGGGGGTGTCCTTTAAAACAGCCCCGTCTAAATGTAAATACAGCAATCCAAATCTTTGAATGTTGATTATGACGGGAAGACATCAAATACTATACTGAACATATTTTATATGATATTAGCTGAGGGCATACCATTATCGAAGAGGTACAAAATGACAGATCGTGTTTCACTCTCTGCAAATTTTAAAGAAATATTATACCCGAATGTGCTCTGATGACTAATATCTCGTTAACTATATTATCCACATATGTGAAATTGTGGATATGGCTTTGCTAATGATTTTCAAAATAAAATGGAAGCTTTTCTAACATTGGAGATCGAGAATATAGTAAGGCCCACTACTTTTGGGACACCCCTCGTATTTTGTATTTTCCAGACATTCAGACACTATAGTCTTTCGGACATATCCTTGTTTTAATTACAGGTGCGGGACCTGATGCAGGATCTGGAACAATATGTCAATGCTGTAAAAGGTAAGAACAATTCAAAGATACTGATCTATAATCTAACATAGACAATAGAGCTATGTAAATAGTCGCACGAATTAGACAGAAACCGACTATGAAATATCTGTAAGTTGTTTCACCAAGGATGATAACCTGAGAGAGTGGACATACAAACTGTAAGGAAAATGTTTTGTCTCATTTTACATGTATTTGTTAATACTATTGTATTTCAATTTGCTGTAGCTGAAGGGGAGAGCATTGCAGAGCTGTACAGATTGGTAAGACTATTACACCTGATTGATCAACATTTACACGAGCCTGGTTAGTATAACATGCACCAAGTAGTGTTGGAAAGTGAAGTCCTGCTGCTCAGATGAGTGACGTTACAACGTTACATGATGTGCAAAACACATGTAAAAATGGCAAAGTATCTTTAATATTGCAATCTCATGGGAATATATTTTCAAAAATATAGAAGATGTACAAAAGAGGTACTAAATTGATTGACTTCCAATTAAATTATCCACAATGTTGTCTATACAAAAAAAAGAATTACTGAGAATGAAATTAGTTGATGATTAACTTTGTTCATTTTATGTCAGAACATGTGATGCATTCATGTTTATTGGGAATGTGAACGTGTGAACACATCCTGGTTGAAATTGAACGAGTATATTGAACATAAATCATCAGAAAATTTTATCCTGAAAAATATACAGTCTTAATTGGCGGAAATAATACCGACATAAATTTCTGGCTGGTAAACATACATCCATGTATCAAGTATTAAAAATAAGTTATCACTGGATATATTAGTAAAACAATATTGGGTGATATTTTCAAGACCGAAAAGTATATTGCCAATAATAATAGAAACAAATATCACAATTTGACAGAAAAAGGTCATCACTATTGCATATATTCCCAGTGTAATACTCAAAAAAAAGTAATGCCGGGAATGCTTGGAAAGTGCTTTTAGGCTTCAATAGCAATATGATGAATTTGACACAAGATTAAAGCACATATATAATACATGTACGACTCTGCCCAGTTGGATATTAAAGCTCTGATGAAAAAATGCAGTTGAGTGGGTGACTTCATAGGAGGAATTTTGACTTTTTAACAACATTCGTAAATATACTCAACAGCAAAACAAACGTCAGTGCGAATTCAAAATTAGATAGGCACTGTAATCAAATCATTACAGAAATTGACATAAGCGGATCAAAAACATTTTTGTGTACAATATCTTGACACATCAATGACTAACTCAGCACAATTTGAAGACATTGCGTGAACGTTTGCAGTCCATTCAGACTCTTGACTTCAGTGTCTAGTGTGACAACCAGGGGTGGCAATAACTGCAGCATGAAGTGCACACGTCGATTGATGAAGGCCATTGGCACCTTGAACCACTCTCTGAGAAAGGCCTGGCGCAATAAATCGGCTGGGTTCGGCCTTGGTATGACATTATTCAGTCTCCTCTGAATTTCATCCCTAAGATGTTCAACTGGGTTTAAATCAGGACTAAGGGCTGGTCACTGCATAATGTTGACACCGTTCTGCTGTAGGAAGTCCCGTGTAGCTCTGGCAGTATGGGCCCGGGCGTTATCATGCTGGAAATGTTGTTCCGGTGACGTGCGAAATGTGGTATGACGTGGGGTCTGGGAGCTTGGTCGATGTAGCGGACTGCTGTGATGCCGCCTCCTCTGCCTGGACCAAGGTTCTTGAACACCACAGGACACACTCTCTGGTTCAGGCCTATTCCACCCCATACCATGATGCTTGCACCTCCCCATGAGACTCTTTCCATAACACATTGGTCTTAGTAACACAGGCCACGTCGTCACCATATTCTTGTTCTGCCATCTGCAGTGGATACGCAGTACCGACTCCCATCTGTGAACAGAACAATTCTCCATTGCCTGTATCGCCAGTTGTAACGCAAACTGTAGACGTTCACGCGGATGACGAGGGGTGAGGATATGTCCACGGTAAGGTCTTCGGCAATTGAGGTTCCCGCTGTTAAGACGTCGGCGTACTGTATCAGTACTGATTGGGATTCTGTACATGCTGTCGCACAACATGGCGGTCTTGTCGTCTTGTGGTCACCCTTGGTCTGCCAGTTCGGGGGCGATCATTTGTGGTGTTGGTGTCCCGGAAACGTTGCTGCAGCCTGTAGATGGTCCGAACGTTGGCCCGGAGGTGATTGGCAACGGCTTGTGCAGTGTGGCCAGCTTCAAGTCTTCCTAGCGCCTGGTTCCTCTGAGCTGTCGTGAGTCTCGGCATCCTACTGACGTAATATGAATGCTTGAACCAGATTTGGGGGTGCATTTTATAGGGCTGGTCCTTGTGAACAGCACGTGCATCATGGGTTGCATGAAAAACATGGAGAACATCGTACCATGTCCGAGATCAGTTTGCGTTTTTGAGACCATTTCCTGGGTTCCATTCTTGTTTTGGAAGGAATGTCTTTGCTCAGGTAAAGTTGAAGATGTTGTCAAAAATATACAATTGAGAAAAATTTAATGAATTTACAATTATCCGTTTCTACGAAGGAAAGTCCAAACTGATTTTTCTTTCGCTGCTTATTATATTTTTGAAATACAGACTATAATTATTCAAATAGACTCAACTAATTGAATTACATAAAGGATTGTAAAAAGCTTTGTTGTTTTTTTAACATCTATTTGTGAAAAAGATGGAACTCTTGTGGTAGTTATATTAAAAATAATTACATAATAATGTCTTAATTCAAATCGCATAGATAATCTTGTTCACCCATTGAAGTTTCACTTCGAATATGAGCACTGAACTGGCAACATGCGACTTGATATCTCTGCAGAACAATTAATTTCAAATTTATACCAGTATTTCATACTGGAGAAACAAAGGGGTAAACCTCTTGTCAGCTATGACAGGGTTTACTATAGAATGTGTTAACCCCTAATTTGACATATAGTCAGGTTTACAAAGTTGTAAACAAATCATTTACCTCAGGGGTCGTGTCAAAACCAGGTAGGAAACACAAACTGGATAGTTTTGATAAGGGTGTCATACGCCGTGCAGTTTATAAACTATATGAACTCAAAATCCCACCGACGTGTGCTAAAATACAAGATGAGATCAAAGATATAATAAATGTCTCGAAAACAATACTTATTGTAGCTCTGGTAGAAATGGGGTTCAGGTACACCAAAAGAGGAGATGACAGAGCTGTGTTTAGAGAAAAGTACTCAGTCCTGTCCATCGGATCAGTTGAATAATACCGCAGTTTGGGGTTTCAAGTTATATACCTTGATGAAACCTAGTGCAATATAATTCACTCAACCGATCGGATGTGGCTTCCTTCACATTGTTCAAAGGCACCAGTGTTACCATCAGGCAAAGGTAGACGCCTGATCATCTTGCATGCTGGTACCCGTAGCAAGGGACTGATTGGGGCTTGTGGCTTTGTTTCTGAGGCCAAGAAATCTGATGGTGATTACAATAGCGAAATGCATGGGCAAATATTTTTGGATTGGTACCGCAGCTGGACGAACCAAACGTTATCATTTTGGATAACGCCAGTTACCATAACCTGCGTGTCCCTGGTACCATCACACCCACCATGAGCAATCTCGTACGAGCTGCAAAACAAGGCCACATAGTTCCGCGTACACCAGTACGGCACTGTGAGCTCAATCCCATCGAGCCGATCTGGGATAACTGTAAGAACTTTATTGCTCGCAATAAGACCACATTCAAGCCTTAAGACGTTCAAGAGGTTGTGTATGCTTCTTTTGCGAGAGTTACCCCAGAAGTGTAGCAAAAGGCTGAAGACCGTGTTCTCAAAATCGAGGACGAATACCGTCTGCGGGACGGCATTAACGACAGCCAAGTTGTACTTGTTGTAATTTCGTCACCTCACCAGCAGTGATACTGACACTTGATATTTTGAGACGGTCCCTGACATACACTGCCCGTGCGTTACATAACGCTGTCACCCTGTCTGCCTGCCAAGTGGATCACAGTATAATTTGTTTTTTTGAAGTGTTTCTACCATGGATTTTTTCGATATTATATGAGTAATCATTATGATTGGGCAATGGTACATCGTGTTTACTCATATGCAATATATATTAAGCCTGGGTGGTATGAATGATTATATATGAGTTTTGAATCTGAAATATCAACCATTATCAAATAATTGCCCAAAAGCATTTTCCAAGCATTTCTGGCTTTACTTTTTAAAAAATACAATTTCCTGTATGTGTCTTATTGTGTACTAGTTCTGTTGCATTTTGTAGTTTGTTATTTGTATCTACTGATCTTGAATGAATAATAATAAAAATAATAATACATGTAATGTGCTACCTCCATCAAACTCTTTTATCGAATAACGACAAACCAAAAAGTTCAACCAAATACACGGTTTCATAATATGTGTTTTATATTTGCATGGCTATCTAATCGTCTTTTTATCTCATCTCACTTCAGAAGTTGATGCTCTTATCTTTGAAAGTGTCATGTTATATGTCAACATATTTCGTTTAGAAACGATCAGTTCAAATGTGTAATATTCTGAATATGTAAATCTCTCTACTTGTATGTAGTTCCTATGGTTATTGGCTGGAGGCTGCCTGTGTTATCAACTTCCACCATGGACCTGTGTATTTAGTTTTTTATCTCTATGAAAAAATATCCTCAATCTACATGTAGGTAAACTCCACAGTTCTGTACAGATGTGAATTGTATGTTCAACAATGACTGTTTCACGTTGTATCCCTACTAAAGTGTACAACTGACGTATTGAGGACAATGTGCAACTACTTTTGCATTAACTGTTCAACTATTGAACCCGATTGTTTTGAAAATTCACTTGGCCAACACCAATAGGTTTTATTGCATATTCGCTCCATTATGATGAAGCTTGTGATATAGAATAACTATATGTGCTTGTTATATGAGGCAATTAACGAGATCGGATGGTCAGACTTAGATGCTGCGTGTCAGTGTGTCCCATTTGTGGAGATCGATGCGCGTCATCCTAATCACAGGACTGGTTCAGACTTTATTCTTTACTGATCGCTGTCATGTAAGTCGTGTGGGGCGTCAAAGAAAGAAAGCACAATCCAAACAATTTATGAAAAGATATCATTTTAACGATAGACTCCCTGTCGTTGAAAAGTAATTGACGCGAAGTCAAAGAATGTAACATCTGTTATATTTGGGATTACACTTTCTCAGTAAAGTACAGATTCTAGTACTTTTGGGGGTGGGTGGGATTGGAACCCACTCCCTCAAAGTCAGGCACCTAATCGCGCCTAGACCGCTCAGCCACCGCGGATGTGGATGCCTCGGTGGCTGAGCGGTCTAGGCACCTGACTTTGTGTGCTGGCGATTAGGTGCCTGACTCTGAGGGTGTGGGTTCGAATCCCAACCCCCCAAAAGTACTAGAATCTGTACTTTACTCAGAAAGTGTAATCCCAAATAAAACATACTAATAATAGTCACTCGTGTATTATGTAAGATTTGTATTTTGACATAAGTCAGAGGTGGATGTTTTTTATTACTTTGCAAATACAAGCAAAATATTACATAATACAAACGTTGTTTCAGATGGAGAAAATTGAAGCCGAGCAAGCAAAACAACTTGAAGGTATGCAAAATGCAATAAAAACACATAAAATAATAACAAACGAATACACATGTGTAAGCAAAAATGTTTTGTGGTTATATTTCTCATTGACATGAGCTTTTGTGCAATTCGTGCTGCTCTCGCGGCTTAGAAAATAATAAACTCTTCGATACAAATGATAATGCACTCTCATTGTCTTCAGATGAACAGAGAGCAAAGGAAGAATTACAAAGAAAGGCAAGTACTTCTCCAAATACCCCACCATATTAATGATGAAAAGTCATCCCCATCAGCATGTACTCTCCAGGTGTCAGGGGTTATGTCATCATAAATCAGTCATTACCTCCTGGCACCTGAAGAGGCGATATAATCTGTCTGACCCATTATGTAACATATCATCGTTGTTAGCCATCACTGTATGGAACTAATCCTGCATGAATGACTGCATGAGTGGTTTCGGAAATAATTGTCATTGCTCAGAATGATCTGACACAAAGGGCAGGTTTTCTTCAGACTGAGAATAGATGGCATTTAGGTAAAGAAATAGAACATCATATTGTATTTTGAAGACTGACTGACTGACTGAGTTTGGTTTTACGCCGCTTTTAGTAATATTCCAGCAACATCACGGCGGGGGACACCAGAAATGGGCTTCACACATTGTACCCATGCGGGGATTCGAACTCGGGTCTTCAGCATGACGAGCCAACGCTTTAACCACTAGGCTACCCCACCGCCCGTATTTTGAAGAGGATCCAACATGCAAATATATTTTGTATTGACTGTTTGGCTATTGGAAGAGATTTTTTAACATTCCTGATGTAAACATCTGATGTATACAACCACAAATATTGTTTCCCTTCCCTCTTCAGCAACTCAATCATGAATCATATTGGAGGAGGGGGTAGTGGTCAAAGCATTAGCTCAAAGCATGGATTCGAGTCCTATTGCTTGTCTTCCTCTGTTGTATAAATAGTTGAGGTGAGGTGAAATTGGGTTTAACGTCGTGCTTGAGAATATTTCGCTCATATGACGACGTGCATGCGTGTGTATGTGTATGTGCGCCTGCTAGTACTAGCCCAGACTTAAGATGGTTTTATAGTGCTAGCCTACTGAGATACCATGCCGCAGGGAAGCATGAATACCCCACTCAGACACATTATACTGACTCCGAGCCGACCAGTCCTTGTTGTACCCATTAATGCCGAGCACCAGACAGGGACCAACAAGTACCATATTTTAATGTATTTTGGTATGACGCGGTTGGGGATCGAACACGCGACCTTCCGCTCTCCGGGCGGACGCTCTAACCACTAAACCACGGAGGCTGTATAAATAGTTGAAGTGAGCCAAACATCGTAATAGTTTACTTACTCACTCACTCATTCATCACTGTTGTCAACCAGTGCTGTCACCATTAATACCCTAAGCCTACTGCCATGTCTATGGTTTCACAAGTATCGTTTTCATTATCATTATTTAAGATTGAAGTTAGCACCATTTGTTTAAACATTCTGTTCCGATGCTTGTCATATGAGGCAGTTAACAAGATCGGATGGCCAGACTACCTCACACGGATGATGCGTGTCAGTATATCCTATATGTGGAGATCGATGCTCGTCATGCTAATCACTTGATTGTCTGGTCCAGACATTATTCATTACCGATCTCTGTCATATCAGTCGAATATTGCTGAGTGGGGCGTCAAAGAAAGAAAGCCCAATTCAAACTAAAATATAGCATCTTCTAACAACAGACTCCCTGTTGCTGACTGAAGTGATTCAAACGAAGAAACAGAATATTTTTAATTATAACCACATGTTCACTATGTAAGATTTATATTTTGACATAAGTATGAGCTTACCTGACAAATGAACGTCATATATCACATAATACTAATGTTGTTACAGGTGCAGAATATTGAAGCCGAGCAAGCAAAACAAAAACTCCAATTTGAAGGTATGCAAAATGCAATAAAAACACATAAAATAATAACAAACGAATACACATGTGTAAGCAAAAATGTTTGTGGTTATATTTCTCATTGATACGATCTTTTGTGCAATTCGTGCTGCTCTCACGGCTTAGAAAATAATAAACTCTTCGATACAAATGATAATGCACTCTCATTGTCTTCAGATGAACAGAGAGCAAAGGAGAATTACAAAGAAAGGCAAGTACTTCTCCAAATACCCCACCATATCAATGATGAAAAGTCATCCCCATCAGCATTTACTCTCCAGGTGACAGGAGGTATGTCATCATAAATCAGTCATTACCTCCTGGCACCTGAAGAGGCGATATAATCTGTCTGACCCATTATGTAACATATCATCGTTGTTAGACATCACTGTATGGAACTAATCCTGCATGAATGACTGCATGAGTGGTTTCGGAAATAATTGTCATTGCTCAGAATGATCTGACACAAAGGGCAGGTTTTCTTCAGACTGAGAATAGATGGCATTTAGGTAAAGAAATAGAACATCATATTGTATTTTGAAGACTGATTGACTGACTGAGTTTGGTTTTACGCCGCTTTTAGTAATATTCCAGCAACATCACGGCGGGGGACACCAGAAATGGGCTTCACACATTGTACCCATGCGGGGATTCGAACTCGGGTCTTCAGCGTGACGAACCAACGCTTTAACCACTAGGCTACCCCACCGCCCGTATTTTGAAGAGGATCCAACATGCAATTATATTTTGTATTGACTGTTTGGCTATTGGAAGAGATTTTTTAAACATTCCTTCGGCCACCACCATTATAGATTGTATTGCATTTGAGACGCCTGTGATATAGAATAACTATATTCAAATACATATAAGTGGGAACCGGTCTCATCTGATGTATACAACAACAAATATTGTTTCCCTTCCCTCTTCAGCAACTCAATCAAGAATCATATTGGAGGAGGGGGGTAGTGGTCAAAGCATTAGCTCAAAGCACGGATTCTATTACTATTGCTTGTCTTCATCTGTTGTATAAATAGTTGAGGTGAGGTGAGGTGAAATTGGGTTTAACGTCGTGCTTGAGAATATTTCGCTCATATGACGACGTGTATGCTTGTGTATGTGTATGTGCGCCTGCTTGTACTATCCCAGACTGAGCCCACTGAGATACCACGCCGCAGTGAAGCATGAATACCCCACTCAGACACATTATACTGTCTCCCGAGCCGACCAGTCCTTGTTGTACCCATTAATGCCGAGCACCAGGCAGGGACCAACAAGTACCATATTTTAACGTCTTTTGGTATGACGCGGTTGGGGATCGAACCTACAACCTACAGTTCTCCGGGCGGACGCTCTAACCACTACATCAGGCGGTATAAATAGTTGAAGTGAGCCAAACATCGTAATACTTTACTTACTCACTCACTCACTCACTCACTCATTCATCAATATTTTCAACAAGTGCTGTCACCATTAATACCCTAAACCTACTGCCATGTCTGTGGTTTCACAAGTATCGTTTTCATTATCATTATTTAAGATTGAAGTTAGCACCATTTGTTTAAACATTCTGTGCCGATGCTTGTCATATGAGGCAGTTAACAAGATCGGATGGCCAGACTACCTCACATGGATGATGCGTGTCAGTATATCCTATATGTGGAGATCGATATGCTAATCACTTGATTGTCTGGTCCAGACATTATTCATTACCGATCTCTGTCATATAAGTCGAATATTGCTGAGTGCGGCGTCAAAGAAAGAAAGCCCAATTCAAACTAAAATATAGCATCTTCTAACAACAGACTCCCTGTTGCTGACTGAAGTGATTCAAACGAAGAAACAGAATATTTTTAATTATAACCACATGTTCTCTATGTAAGATTTATATTTTGACATAAGTATGAGCCTACCTGACAAATGAATGTCATATATCACATAATACTAATGTTGTTACAGGTGCAGAATATTGAAGTCAAACAAGCAAAACAATTTGAAGGTATGCATGACACAACAAGACACACAATTATATCAAACGAATATACATGTGTAAGCAAAAATGCTTTTGATTATCCCGTTGATTTACATACTTACAGTCATCAAAATTATGTTCATTAACATGAGATTGTGTGCAATTCCTGCTGCTCTATCAGAGGGTTGTGGACGGGTTAGGAATGGTATCCTCAGAAACAAATGATAACATACGCTCAATGTCTTCAGATGACCGGAAAGAAAGAGAAGAACTAAAAAGACAGGCAAGTACTACTTCAAATACCTCACCATATTAATGATGAAAACTCACCCCCATCAGCATATATTTACCAGGTGACTGTAGTTATTTCAGTCAGTACCTCATGTCGCCTGACATGGCGATATAATCTGTTTGATTCGATATTCACCCTGTCGTTTTGGTTATTTGCCAAATGTATCTAACACATACTGCATGAATGACTTGAGTGGTTTGGAAATCTTGGCAAAGAAAACCTGTAATTTACAAAAGGTTGAAACACAAGTGTAAGGACATTTAGTAGCTTATAAGAACTTAGAAACCTTAACTTAACTAAACTTAGAAAACCAAAGAAGTCATTGACTGACACCATTAGAATATGAAACAATGTGTCCATTTATGAGTGAACCAGTTCCTTAATGTAAATGATGACATGATTCTTGATTACAGATGCAAATCCTACTCAAGGTGATCGAGGAAAAGGACAAGGTGCTCGAGGAAAAGGACAAGGATATGAGACAACTCAAAGGTATTTCTTATACGTACAAACTCCACGTTACTCACGTATTAAATGTGAATATTAGCAGAACATAACTCCAGATTCAAAGACAGGTGAACAGTTAGTATTTTGTCAAGTCACCATGGGCAGCAATACAGGCTTCAATGCGGCGGGGCATACTGCTGATCAAAGAAGTTAGAAAGTCGTGGTCCATGCTGTCCAATATCGGACCACCTCTTCTTTCAGCAATATTTGTCAGATTTTTCTTATTGACACTTTCCTTCATAAGTCCCCAAACATTTTCTATTGGATTTAGGTCAGGGCTATAGCTTGGCCAACCTAATAACGTCATATTTTGGGTCCGAAACCAGGCCTGTGAATGCTTTGAACGATGTTTTGTCCTGCTGGAAAAACCAAAAATGTCCATAGAACACGTGAGCAGATGAAAGTAAATGTCCCTCGAGAATATCTGTGTACCGCTCACTGTTCATATTTCCTTGAAATACACAGAGGGGCGTTGCCCCTAACACAGATATGTCACCCTACACGTTAAATTTAGGACTGTACTTTGGGCGCTGATACAAAGGTTTTTCAGTTTGTTTGGTCCAGAATTTCAGTGTATTAGGAAACAGCCACAAAGAACTTTCATCTGAGAAAATCACATTGTCCCAGTTAAAATTTCTATGCTGTAAGCAACAGTTCAACCTTCGCTCCTTTTGTTCAGGTTTCATGATAGGTGATGGAATTCCTTGACTTTTCTGCCAATCCACTGCATGCAGCTCAGTTCTAAGTGTCGCCTTACAGACAGCCACAGTTCCTCTATCAATCATATCCAGCCTTAAGTTTTCTAAACTCCTTCGTTTGCTTTTAGAAACAAGAATACCAAGCCGCCTCCTGTCACCGACAGTCAATTTTCTGGGCCTTGCTGCACCTCCCTGGTGCTCAATGCAATATCCATTTGCAATATTTTTCAAAACACGATAAACAGTGGACAAAGGGATGCCTGTTCTACTTGAAATCACTTTAGCTGATCTGATGTCCTTGTTATAATACTCTAAAATCAACTTTTTCTTCTCTAAATCATCCATACTGAGGATCACTGAAAATGTCGTCTGCTAGCAAGTAAACAAAGGGGGATAACTCTTCACAAACTAATGAAAAAGGGTTAATGGAGTTGTCTCTCTTGAATGAAACCAAGCACTTGATAGCTGGTCAAGGCTGTTTATACTAGAAATCCAATTAAACATATTCCTAAAATTCTCAATAATTTCTGGTCATACTATACATAGGTATTACTGTGGACATTTTCTCAGATAAACACTGCACGTTTGCCACTTTGCCGGTCTTTAGTTTGCTCTTGGAAATTGGCATTTACATGAAACGTTAGTGTATAGTGAATGAAATATTTCCAGTGTAATTGTAAAACATGTACACCATCAATCATAATTTTCATTTGAACAACCCGTTTTTTCAACTCGAACATAACACTTTATGTCCAAACATGCTGCCAGTTCATGACTTCATATCACATTGACACTCTGTATTTCTGTTTTTAGATGCAGGGGCAGCAGCGGAGGGGAAGGTAAGCGGGGGGAAAACCTCGGGTAAATATTTATCTATATACACAGCATGACAGGTAATACTCCTCTGTATACTCAACGTGACAGGTAAATGCTCCCCTGTATACTCAACATGTCAGGTAAATACTCCCCTGTAGACTCAACATGTCAGGTAAATACTCCCCTGTATACCCAACATGTCAGGAAAATTCTCCTCTGTATACTCAACGTGACAGGTAAATACTCCCCTGTAGACTCAACTTGTTAGGTAAATGTGCATTCCTTACTATGGTTAGAACGGCCCAAACCACGCCGCTATACTTCATCCAACCGGGCTAAACTAACCTTCCATCATTACAGGTACAGGAACCTCAGGATGCCGTGCAAGAGAAAACCACCCAGGACAAACACGGAAGGGAAGAAGGAAAGAAAGGTTTGATCTCTATATAACATGTTGAGAACTTTACTCTTTGGATAGTTACAGAAGTGAAGACCGTTGCCTTCCATCTGTATCAACAATCGGACGTTGCAATTGTATTCGTGCAACATACTCCAGCACCTATTTTACCGAAAAAAAAAAATGTTTTAAACAAATACGCCGACAAAATTAAGAACGAACAAAGAAACAGTGTTATCTTGTAGTTATCTTGTATGACAGTTATCGAACATGTATATCCACAGCGTAGTATACTCAGTATGGTATACTGGTTACACTACCTAACAAACCTTCCATGAAGACTGAAATTATCTTGTAATGACATGGCACTATTCAAATGAAATGCTCACGTTTAATTTAATGTGCATCCCTCCCAAAATCACTGGAAAATGTTTGGATAATAGTACTACTGCTATATATTGGAACTATAGAGTCACATTTTTATACAGGTCTGACGAGCATTTCTTGCAGGATTTATTGAGAAATGTAAGGCATATCCAGTATCGTGTGCTCGTGTTTGAATGCTGTAATTTATGCAGCCACGATGTCTTTCTGGTGTAAGGGAGATAACTCCATACGGGGATGCGAAGGCGACTATGACTGTCAACACAGCTTGTTAACCACCCCTTTTACCCAACCAAAGCACTACAGGGCGAACATATATATTCAGGGGCGTAGCTACCCTTATATACTCCTAGGCCAAATGTAGAGATAAGATCATTATCAGGTAATATGATACACCCGGCCTTATCACCCATACTGCATATCCTGATCATGTTGAACATCAGTGCTTGTCACCGTCCATTAAACCATGCGGTAATACTCATGCAGTTGGTCTATGAACATGTGGACACTTGTTTCAACAACAGGGTAAACCTTGTGAGTTTAAGGAAACCTGATACATTCTGTGTCTAGTTCCACATTGACAAGAATCCCTGGAGGGTGGGAGTTGTCATACCAATTACTGGATAACGCCTTCACTGCTGCCGAGAGATCCTAAAAGATAGGGACTTTTCTAACATTTGGCCTAGGACTATATAAAGAAAAGCCCAGGCTTACACATGATTGTTGCTAAAAACGCTGGGCAAGCCCTCAATACTATCTAAATATAGATCTAAAGCTTTGCAACCTATCGGCCTCACACGAATAAAATTGGCTAGCTACGCGCTTGATATTGTCCTAAACGCACGTCCAAATGCTACCGAGAAATTGTTCGTTTTTCTTTTCATACCTGAAGTAAAATATAGATTACAACAGATAATATAGTAAAATGATTAAAACCATCATCGACTCACAGTTAAACTGATATTTAGGAAAAGTATGTAGTCATCAGTAAACAGAGTAATGTCAAAGTACTTTTTGAAATGTTAGTTCAACCCGGCATTGATTATGTCAAGTCTCACATTTCCGGCACGTTTTGGTCAGTCACAAATAACAAAGAGCTGCTCGCTAGCCACTGCCGCGAACTTGCATCCATCTGTCAAGTTACGTCATGTTGTGACGTCATATATCGAGCACTGGGTCAGAACAGGCCAGGTTTTCGGAGAGGCAGAAGTGCGGGGAATGTGAATCTTGTATGAGATGTAATGTCAGGGTAAGTGAACTGAAAATGTGAAATTGTTTCGTTTGTTCGTCGCCATATCTACCCAGTGTCTTTAACATTAATAAGATGTTATTTCTACACGTGTAAATACTACGGCAAATGTGTATGTTTACCATCCCGGCTGTCGAGGCTATTTTTCTGAGGCACATTTGTTGTCTTCTAAAATGTGAACGTTGTGCAGGAATTCAAGTCGCGAAGCACTGGGTCTGCATTTAGATGTGGGTTTGTGCAGAGATGGAGACTATTATGTTCTGTGATGCACAGTGAAACACATGTGTCGTCATTTGAGTTGGGTCTTTTTTGTAAAAATGATAGGCGTGACTAAAACATTGATAATACCGTCACACAGCATGTCATGAAACGTGGTGTGATGTTAACGATGTATCTTGCTTGGAAACTATATAAACCTACGTGACGGTAAACTTGGAGCACTTGCAGTAATACTGAATGAGATCGGTGTATCTACATGGAAGCCTGGGTGCCGTTGTACAAAACCATATTAGCGCTATGACAATCGCTGGTCCATGTTAAAGTATAGGACTTACTATCACCTTAGCGTTATGACAATCGCTAGTCCATGTTAAAGTATAGGACTTACTATCACCTTAGCGTTATGGCAACCGCTGGTCCATGTTAAAGTATAGGACTTACTATCACCTTAGCGCTATGACAATCGCTGGTCCATGTTAAAGTATAGGACTTACTATCACCTTAGCGTTATGACAATCGCTAGTCCATGTTAAAGTATAGGACTTACTATCACCTTAGCGTTATGGCAATCGCTGGTCCATGTTAAAGTATAGGACTTACTATCACCTTAGCGCTATGACAATAGCTGGTCCATGTTAAAGTATAGGACTTACTATCACCTTAGCGTTATGGCAATCGCTGGTCCATGTTAAAGTATAGGACTTACTATCACCTTAGCGTTATGGCAATCGCTGGTCCATGTTAAAGTATAGGACTTACTATCACCTTAGCGTTATGACAATCGCTAGTCCATGTTAAAGTATAGGACTTACTATCACCTTAGCGTTATGGCAATCGCTGGTCCATGTTAAAGTATAGGACTTACTATCACCTTAGCGCTATGACAATCCCTGGTCCATGTTAAAGTATGGGACTTACTATCACCTTAGCGCTATGACAATCCCTGGTCCATGTTAAAGTATGGGACTTACTATCACCTTAGCGCTATGACAATCGCTGGTCCCTGTTTAAGTATAGGACTTACTATCACCTTAGCGCTATGACAATCCCTGGTCCATGTTAAAGTATGGGACTTACTATCACCTTAGCGCTATGACAATCGCTGGTCCCTGTTAAAGTATAGGACTTACTATCACCTTAGCGTTATGGCAATCGCTGGTCCATGTTAAAGTATAGGACTTACTATAACCTTAGCACTATGACAATCGCTGGTCCATGTTAAAGTATGGGACTTACTATCACCTTAGCATTATGGCAATCGCTGGTCCCTGTTAAAGTATAGGACTTACTATAACCTTAGCGCTATGACAATCCCTGGTCCCTGTTTAAGTATAGGACTTACTATCACCTTAGTGCTATGGCAATCGCTGGTCCCTGTTAAAGTATGGGACTTACTATCACCTTAGCGCTATGACAATCCCTGGTCCCTGTTAAAGTATAGGACTTACTATCACCTTAGTGCTATGGCAATCGCTGGTCCCTGTTAAAGTATAGGACTTACTATCACCTTAGCGCTATGACAATTGCTGGTCCCTGTTAAAGTATGGGACCTACTATCACCTTAGCGTTATGACAATCCCTGGTCCCTGTTAAAGTATAGGACTTACTATCACCTAAGCGCTAAGGTTGTTTCGTACAACAGAAGCCACCGTGGTTCTCTACTGTTACAAAGCGGCAAATGAGAAAAACAACTTTCTTGAACCACCCAGTCATGGGACATAAGTATTCGTCAGTCGGCAAAATGCTCATAGACTTGCATGTTATTTTAGTGTAGCTGTAATGATTGTCATTAATTCAGTTTTCGTTATGTGGTTGTCAAACTTTGCAGGTTGTTAGGAAACCATCTTGGTCACAGATATATATTTTCCATGTAATGTTCCTTCAAGTATTTTCTGCATTGTAGTTACATGACACAACATAGACATAGTGTATTCTTTCTCCATAGACGCCATGTTAAACATTGTCATAAGCATGACACGCATCATTCAAAGTGTGGTCATTCTTGAAATACTGAATGGAAAATAAAACGGAAATTATGTCTGTGCAACTGAGATGATTCATGACACATGTGCAAAATATGAACAAGATTAAAAAGAATAAATTCCAGACGTTTTTTCTAGCTGCACCAAATTAGCATGTAAGTGTATGGAAAGTATGTACAGTGACGAATACTTATGCCCAATGACACTATAAAAAGTATTTGTCTCAAAATGATTATATCATCACCAGCAAATTCCATTATAAGGTCATTAAATCTGTGTTCAAAGTAATTGTGTCCAAATGTATTTGCCAAGGCGAGTATGTATTGACAGCTGTCAATAGGGCAGGTGGAACAGATTGAGACCATTCTCTGTTAGAATGTAGATTACATGAAGTCCAATATTCTATGAATCATATTCTCTGCTCCAGAGGCTGGTGACTTAAAGACAGGGCCGACCTATCAACAAACCGGGGATGAAGCTGATCAACATGGAGGTAAAACTGGAGACTGTCTGAACATTGTGTTTGCTACAGTGCAGTAACAGGGATAAAATCAGTTAACGAACAGTGTCCCAACTATATTACCTTTGAGCGCATCCTTTAAGATTAGACTCACTGACTCAGGCTGGTATACATACTTATATCTGATTGTTATAGCAGCAGATCCCATGAATGTACTGTGTAGGTCCGGTTGTTAAACAAACTGAATGTATTGTATAGAGCTAGTACTTCAACATGACAGAATATAAAGATCGAGTACAACAAAAACCTGGATATAATGTATAGGTCTTGTGAATATATTTGTACCACAAAAAAACTAGCATCCAAGTATATCTACATTGGCAGTGAGAATATACACACATGTTTTAATGTTACAAACTCAAATTCTAAACTGCAGATATTTCACATATAATACTAAACACAAACTGAATATAATGTATAGAACTACTGTCTGTCGTTTCTGAAACCCAACTGTTTTTCTTCAGCCTCGAGTGACGTGGAGGAGAGGGGGGTCACCGCCACAGCGAGAGAAACTGATGGAAGTGTTCCACGTCAAGGAGGTGAGAGCAGTAGGCAGGACTGTGGTACTGGAATGTCACGCCAGTGTCAACACTTGTATCACAGGTCAGGATAAGTTATTGTTCCACGTCAAGGAGGTGAGAGCAGTAGGCAGGACTGTGGTACTGGAATGTCACGCCAGTGTCAACACTTGTATCACAGATCAGGATAAGTTATTGTTCCACATTAAGGAGGTGAGAGCAGTAGGCAGGACTGTGGTACTGGAATGTCACGCCAGTGTCAACACTTGTATCACAGATCAGGATAAGTTATTGTTCCACATCAAGGAGGTGAGAGAAGTAGGCAGGACTGTGGTACTGGAATGTCAGGCCAGTGTCAACACTTGTATCACAGGTCAGGATAAGTTATTGTTCCACGTCAAGGAGGTGAGAGCAGTAGGCAGGACTGTGGTACTGGAATGTCAGGCCAGTGTCAACACTTGTATCACAGATCAGGATAAGTTATTGTTCGACGTCAAGGAGGTGAGAGCAGTAGGCAGGACTGTGGTACTGGAATGTCACGCCAGTGTCAACACTTGTATCACAGATCAGGATAAGTTATTGTGAAGGAGTTGAAACAGTAAATACAGAATGTGAAATGTGTTTTCATTCACTAGATAAGCACTGTTCCAGACGTTACAAAATGGACAAAATTGAAACCTGACATTCGATCCACGCATATTAGATACAATATACAAGCATTTGCTGTATTGTATTGATAGACAGTGACATCACGTGTACAATGTACAAGTTTCTGTTACAGTGACACAGAAAGACTCCGACCCCCACCATGTTGACGACCTTCTTGTTGCCTGCTATCATGGGAACATGGCCGAGGTGAAGCGTGTCCTGGATCTGGGACAGGTAGACATCAACTGTAGAGGATGGTGGAGCTGGACACCTGTGATGTGGGCAGCATGGCGGGGACAGAGAGAGGTGGTGGAGCTGCTACTGAGTAGAGGAGCTGATGTGTCACTGGTGGACGATCTCGGTAACCACATCCTTCACTTGGCCTGTGTGGAAGGCGACGTGGGGACGGTGGAGTTGATACTGTCCCTGGACGGGGTGGACGTCAACTGTAGAGGAGGACGGTGGAGCCGGACACCTGTGATGTGGGCAGCAGAGGAGGGACACAGAGAGGTGGTGGAGCTGCTACTGAGTAGAGGAGCTGATGTGTCACTGGTGGACGATCTCGGTAACAACATCCTTCACTGGGCCTGTATGGGTGACGACGTGGGGACGGTGAGGTTGATACTGTCCCTGGACGTGGTGGACGTCAACGCCAGGAACAACGGCGGGCAGACAGCGGCCGACATGGCGAGAGACTGGGGACGTCATCAACTGGTGGATCTCCTCGTGTCACGTGCTGCTCGGTGAAGTCGTGTGATTTGGTGCAGACAGTGATGATGCTGTTACTGACACTGACGTGGTGTGTGCCGTTCACGTCGTCGTATTTACATTGTGGGACCAAGGTTAGAATTATTGTTGTGTTTGAGGAGAAATAAAACTTGTTGAAAACATTTTCAGACATTTTGTGATTTGTTTTCATGTGGATGTTTTCATGATCAGGTAAGAAGATTGTTGACTGAGTGCAATATTTATATACAACATGAAAGTTGACATAGTGGCGGACATTTATATGTGATTTATGTGACAAACTGAGTCACAGATATGTGACAAACAGACGACAAACTGTTTGTTTACATCTCGATCTACTCTGAGGCCATGTTCGCCCAGCTGACGGGGCGCCAAATGTACAGTGACGGTGACGTCACAATGCCTATGACGTCATGGCTGTTACCCAGCTGACAGACAGGGATACGGGAGTTGAGTTTCAGTTTGTTACAATGAACGTATTTCTCCCGAGATTGTTTTCATGATTTCTGGCATCAGGTAATTAGACAATAACTAACGAGTGACGGGGAATGACAGACCATCTTTCCCGAGTTATATTAATTACGCAATTAAGCCTTGGCAAAGGACAAGATAAAGTACACCCATCTATATATTTACAATCTGGGCCTTCTTTCACAAATTTGTTTTCATTATTTGTAAACATTACAGTAAATGTGAATAAGTTAGACAAAGAACCCATCTATATATTTATAAACTGGTTGGTACTCGTGCCAGTGTGTGGTCAGCCGAAGCTTCAACATAGAAGATTTGTACATGTGAGCAGTTATACTGACATCGGAGTCGGAAAGGTCGCACATCGGGTTTTCTATTCATACCTCAATGAACCGGGGGAAAACAAAGTCAATCCTTAATTAAATTTATGTAGCTAACTAATTAATTCCTAATCCACATGCAATCCGCGTTATCAAGCAAATACATATCATACCAATATTTAACACACCAGAGAAAATATATAGTGTTATACAAACGTATCTTGTTCACGTCAGCTGGCTGTCTACCGCTCAGTGCCGCACTGTGATGACGTCGCGTGTCACAAACTTATACACTGTATACAGAGTTACAACGTTATTATTTCAGCACAGTGTAACTAAATTATAACCACAGTGTAACATTCAGCTTGAGTCGATTGTTTTCAAACAGCTTCTTATGTCAACAAATTCTAAATGTATATCTGCCTCGCCATCGGTGAAAGTGTCGATATTCTAAGTTCGCTACTTTTCTACATAAATCGTTATACCCAAGCCTTCGAATGTGGCAAGTAAGCACCCTTGTTTGAAATCTCGATGTCCAACAATTAATACCATTGTGTCATAGAGTAGACCATTTGAATAACTTTCTTTAAAACTATTAAATATTTAAACGACATCATTTTTTCAGCATGTACAAAGTACACAGAAATTATATCCCCTTTGTCTATTTAATGTATTCAGCAAACATTTGGTGTATCCCCTCTTATCATAAATCCTCCTCCGGGCAGGACCCTTACCCCCTGGATGCCACAGGGACATATATGTCCTTCCCCTTCAACCCTCAATTTCAAGTCCAATAAAAATCAAAATATCCCACGCACACAAATACACTTCACAGTTTCGATTTCTGCGGAAAATTTCCTGTTTCTTGATACCATCCACTACTATTTTAGACAAAGCTCAAGTGTTGTAAATGACCTTTCAAAATAGGCTCCATCGAAAATGTCGCCATTTGTGACACAGTACGAAATCGCAATTCACAGCGTTATTTGCTGTATGTTTTGAAATGTGAAAATCGGATAAATACTGGGAGTGTTGAATTTCAAAAATAACATATTCATGATCACTGATATCAGCTTTACATGAAATCGCTAATTATAATTCTGAAACGTTGCCGACGAATCTAGAATCGGTCGGGATGTTTTCGAAAATGCACTTACACGAACGCCGTAGAGCGCTTTCCCCATATTGGACAGTGATTACAAAATCACGTTTCGCGAGGCCGGTATTGAGACGCCTATTACATCACGTATATTTCATATTCAGCTTAGAAAAATGCATCACTGAATTCCACATACATTTTAGAATCAAATTGCAACTGGTCTTTGTCACCAATACCAACTGTCTAGATAAAATGAGACGAAACATATTGGGTGTGAAAACGAACGTTGTGCTTGAATGACTGCGCTTCTCTGAAATGTAAACACAAATTCCGATTTTACACTGTGTAGCATTTTCTGAAATTTTTCAACATTCTATTTTTCAACATTTCAACCGTCTATTCATTGCTTGCAATGGCTCAATACCTTTGGAATATGCATGGAAAGAGTATCGTAGCAAGAAATAGGAAACTATAAATAGATACTATGCAATGATTTGATAATTCATTAGAAATTGTCAAAGTTTCCGTGCAGCGTGATGCCATGACTGACGCAAAATCACGCAGAACGACAACGGTAATTATCTGCATTTCTGGCTTTTTCTCTTACTTATAGTGAAAACGATAAAAGCATATAACAATACACAGATAGTCAGAATCATTCAGATTACTCACATCTCATATTTATGTACAAACGATCCCTGAATCAATGGAAGGGTCCTCGCAAAATCCTGTGTACCCTTGTCAGCAAAGCCGACATTTTGTAAGAAATCGGTCAGCGGTAGTGATGTCATACGTCAACATTGTTTTACATATTAGGCAATTTCTTTGAGGTGAAGGTCGGTTGAACAAGAGTCAACACAATCGCCCAATCCTTCCGATTACACTGTCAGTATTATAGTGATTTTGCGTATAGTTCAGATACTTTTTCACGAAACTGACTTCAGTATCTACATTTAGCCTTGTTCAATATCATATCATACGTGCATATAGGGTTAACGGTGTTTTACTCAGTGAAAGTTTTCGATTGTTTGAATCATATTTACATAAGAAATTGACATATTTAGTGCAATACACCATATTCTAAACCTTTACACAAGTGTTAGAAGATCAAGCGTAGCCATAACTGCAACTACTTTAGTTCCTATGATGTACAATATTCAATTTATTTGGACTAATAATGCAATTTCATATGAACAGGTTAATGAACGGTGATTTAATTCAACCTTATATGTAAAACTGATAATGATAATGAAAATGATTTTATATATGGTATGAAATGTATATGCACACTTATTTAAAGGAATTGTCTTGTTCATTGCATAATTTTGTGTCGTTTTATAGACAAAAGAATGATGCATATTGATCGGCCAGGTGCGCGTTTGTTGGAAACGTTTTATGATTCTCTATCATTTTTTCGATAATATAATCAATTCATATTCGATTAAACAATATTGTGCAGATGACAGGATATCAAACTCTAACTACATTTATAGGAAAATTGTTGAAAAATATATATACCATCTCATGTGTTAATTCGGACAAATCTTACATCCATATTCTAATATATAGTTCCATATATAAAAAGCTATCTTTTTGCATCTTTCATCGCATACGTATAAAGAGAAATAGCTACATAATCATAAACAAACAAAATTCTTGTCCCAAACAAAATATTCGGGTGTTGTGAAATATTATTTTTATTTACGTTAAATTGATGCCAAACAGGTGCGCGTGTTGTTCACAAGAAGATACGCTGTCAAACCGTCTAATTGTTGATATATTCAGGACACTTTTTAAATGGAAAAATCAGTCATTTTATGTTTTGTCTAAAGAGTGTTAAATTCTGACGTAGAAGAAGAGACCTTTTATACAATGAATGGAAATTAGGTGAGATATATACTAATCAGCATACCAATGTCGTCGTTTTCCGACGTCGCAAAATGCATAAAACAAGCAATGACGTCAACTAAAATGTTGTATTATTTTCAGCAATTTCATTACATTTGAAAATATGGCTAGTATTCTGGTAATAACGATGCAAAGTTAGTCAAATTACATCTACACAAACAGGAGAATATGGGAATCTAAGAACTAATATATATCGGATAGGGCCATCCAAATCGCTATTACGTGCTTTCACATGTAATACGTTGTCATTTTTCTTGTAAATTGTGAAACTACCAAACTGCATCCGCTCACATTGGGGAACTTTGAATTGGAATAGTTTGGTTCACCATGAACATAACATAACCAAAATATAGCGTCCGTATCCACAACAAATCCTCTCCAAGTGATCTGAGTTTCATTGACCTAGTGTTACGCATAACGGAGTTATGCCCCCTTATCATTTTACGTGTATGACCTCTCTGTCGTCGTTTGACGTCATAGAAGAAAATCCATTTTTGACATTTATTGCGAGTGGTTTTTAATGCTGAGCGTATAACGTTATGCACAAGCACATAAACCCAATTCATATACACTTATCTCGTTCAGATATCAGGCTGTATTTTCTTCGCTCACATTTTCCGTAAAGATGCCACATTAAAAAAATTCGTAGCCGTACGTAGATCCAGGACAAGGCGAGCGCAATTCTCGCACAACGTTCACTTTTCAAACCGTATGAAAATGTGCGCCTGAAAAGAAACTCGGTATCAAGGGGGTTAATCTGAATGCTATGAGTAAATGTCAATAGACCGATCCAGTCCCGGCCCCGTTTCACAAAACTCTCGTGCCTCCTATACTGTAACATATGACTGACTGGCTGACTGAGTTTGGTTTTACGCCGCTTTTAGCAATATTCCAGCAACATCACGGCGGCGGACACCAGAAATGGGCTTCACACATTGTACCCATGTGGGGATTCGAACCCGGGTCTTCAGCGTGACGAGCCAAAGCTTTAACCATTAGGCTACCCCACCGCCCCCTGTAACATATGAGGTACTAATGCTACGAGAAAAGTTACGAGATCTTAGGCTTACGAGAGCGTTGTGAAACGGGACCCAGGCCGATAAGCCCCGCCCACTTCAATATTTACGTGAGGGGGGGACAACCATTGACTAATCACAATGGCGTCACCGCCGGCGAAACGTGCGTGACTGCGAACGTTGTTGATGAATTCTGCTTGTGGTACTTTGGTATCCACCGTTTGTGAATGATATTTAAAGAGGAAAGTTATACGGATGTGATTTTTTATATATTTTAATTGGCAGACTGCAATTGGCGAGTGAAAATGAGTTACATGCCCGATGAAAAA